AGCCTGTATTCATGTCAACGGTCAGTAAAACAAGCGAAGAAAACATGTGTGGGCGATACGGACTGCGAGATCGGTGCCGGCCACAACATGGCTCAACGTCGTTCTTCCAGTCCCTCCGCAGTGAAACACAAAGACGAAGCACGTAGCGACGAGGTCTGTGCACAGACCGGAAATCGGGCTGTCAGAGCTCATGCATCCCCAGCAGCGCTCCTCAATTCGCTCATACTCCGTTGGCAACCAAGGGTGGAAGCCATCGTCGTCATACAGCAGCTCGTAAGCTCCCGGTCCAACGACGAGCTCTTGTATCTTCATGAAGTCCCACAAAGAAATGGGTGGCAGATGGTGGGAGCGCAGAGAGCAATGGAAGCACGAGGCAAGGATGACAGCGCGACGCAAGGTTGACAGACAGCTTGGCCGCACTGATTCCGTGTCGAATCAAATAAGGTAGTATTTTTAGTCCGCAGAGTTCAGGCCGCGCTATAGCCTCTGATCGTCGCTCTTGCTCGTCTTATCACAGGATCGAGCAGTGTTGCCCGCGGAAACAAATGGGGAATTCGGTATACGTTGTCGGACTCGGGCTTTGGAACGTCATGGACAACGAGTTCAAGCTCAGAGTCAAGATTGGTTCAGGATCACAGCTGGAGAGAGCAATGCTATATCAACCCAATGCTCACTCACCTGGATTCGCCCAAGTCCTTCCTCTGTGGCTTCATAAGTCAAAAGCGATAACTATCACCCCCTAGTCGGTATTCAACATGACTTCAACTTTAACATATTGGCGCTCCGATTACAGCTGTTTCCGAAAACAATGAGACGCGTACTTTTTTTTTCCGCTGCTCAACTTTTTTTCGGAGTGATAAGGATTCCCTAATTGGGCTCGGCTCGACGGCCGGCCCAGTCCAGGCCTTGTCGCCAAAATCCTGTAAGGTTGCGGGAAAATTGGGAAGGTCCAGCAAAGTACACTGAAAGTAGTGAATTGGCTCACGAGTGAGCTTAGCTGCCCTTCACTCTGTCCTGTTGAACGGATAATTCTATTTGGAAACCCGGTTTCCGGTGGAAACCCCTCCCCAAAAAAGTTCGCTATTTGGAAACCCGGCTTCCAAGGGTTGCCCAACAATTTTTGCGCCGGCCGGCATCTCGGCATAAGTTCAACCACCACAAACTTGGTTCAAAAAATGTACGGACAGTCCATGAATTTTCGAAGTAGGCACTAAATACTGCCAGGCCTCTTGGTACGGAGGTAGCTCAAAGGACTCCCCGCGCCGCCTTCCCTTCACTAGGGAGACGAACCGAACAGTAAGTACCGGCCTCTGGGTAATATGACAGTTGGATCCACAGTTTTGGTCATGGTGGGTGGGCTTCGTCGACATTTGTGGACTGAAAAAGAGCTGGGGATAGTATGGATCAAGTGAGGGACCTGTCCACAGGCCTTTATGCTGGTAACCGGTGGCCGTACCACAGCTTGGATGTCGTGATTCTTCTTATGAATGCGCGCTGCAACGTGCAGTGTGCGAGCAGAAGCCTATGAGGGTAGCATGAGCATTGAGGCGAGTTGCTGGCATGCAGATCGTAATGTTCGCGTTCGTAGTAGCTAGTGATTCGTAGCCAGTGTTATGAGCGGCGGCACTGCACTGAGGCATGTGCACTGTCCTTGTTGAACGAGTTGATCATGTGCTGAAAATCGGAGCAAGTAATTCCAAACTTAAGAGAGACATGCTCCTCGCCAGGAGCAAACCAGAACGCATGCTCTTGTCTTTAACTTACTTAAACCTTGCAGCATATAGACTTGTTCCTGGTGCTCGAGTATGCAGAGTATGCAGAGTTTGGTTGAGTTTCAGACTCCGCCATCACCTCGGCTGTGATGGCCGAGGGGTTTCTGAATAGACAATTGGCGGGGCTTCTCGGCAAACTTGGGTTTCCACTGGAAGCCGGGTTTCCAAATAGAATTATCCCTGTTGAACATTCTGTAGGAAAATAAATTGCCGTACTCTCGGCTCTGTCAGCCTCGGCTGGTAACGGCTACCCTCGGCTGCCCAAAACAGGTAACCCTTATCACACCAAGAAAAAGTTGAGCAACCAAAAAAAGAATGATGTGTCTCATTGTTTTCGGAAACAGCTGTAAGCGCTGGATTGGAATATAGAGATAGCCGTTGATGAGCACGGAGGTATCATAGCAGGAAAAAAGTATCTACAGCACCACGGATGACTCGGGCCTGGTTCGAACAGGTGAATTCCACTGATATTATGTCTTAGCACCATGGCCAGTCCGACACTTGAAGTGGATGTGATACCTTTCATCAAGTCGTTCTCATACTGGATTTCAGGTTCAAGTCCTCGCGCTGTTCAAGAAGACAATAGAACGCGGTGAGCAGTCTGTGAGCATAAGAACATCCACAACCTTTGATTATTCGGACTGTGGGAGCAGACGGCCCAGTAGATTTGGATCTTGGAGTCTGTAGTAGAGAGAATGAGGTTTACGATGGTTTTGAAGGCATGTAGGGTCGGAATAGATAAGGCAAGCGGCGAGCTTCAAGTGAGGCGGATAGGCGGATGCGATACCATTAGCCACCGGGTTGGTACCATGGGTATGTTGAACCTGAACATGCGGAAGGTTGAATTTGCGTGCTGGAGAAGAGGAAAATATGTACTCGCGGATAATTTAGACACGATTCAACGGGTCCTGCGAATTAATCCGTGACTCCGAGTCTCACTGCGGAAAAACCAGAAGTTACGGGCCATCTGTAGTCTATCAGCACAAAAAACCGAAACTCTCATCAAGTGACCCAGACCCGAGTCGAACGGGTGATTTCCACTTGTAATGTGTTCATGTCAAGAAAAACGCCGGGTGGATGTGATGCCTCCACTGCTGAGTCGTTTTAAAGCTTAATTTCAGCTTAAACATGGTCCAAACTCCGAGAGATTAAATTTGCTGCGCGGCGCGCCAGAGGGATGATTGAGGGTGAATTATTTCCTCCGCTGGGTATTGAAGAGTATACTTGGCGAAGCTAGGATAAAAATGAGACCACGTCCCCCACACAATAACCTCTCTCTACTATATGTGCCAATGCATCGTCGAAAAAAATTGAAGTTATTGAACCAGGTCGGATTGAAACATTGGTCGGATCAGACACGATTCCACGGCCAAAAAGGCAATCCCAGTGGGATGAAAGAGGTTTCGCATGGTTTATGATCTCCTCGGTGTCCTGATACCCAGCGTCAACCTGGCCGCAGGAGCAGAAAAGGGCAAACATACGGTTTATCGGCCCGCATATGACTCGGACCCGGGTCGAACGGGCGACGTCCGCTGATCTTCAACGGAGAACGCCCGACTATTCAGATCGTAAATGAAAAGGCTGCGTTTTGAGAGTGGATCTTCGTGGGAAAGGCAGATTTTGTTGGGAAGGAACACAGAGTGATCATTACATGAGCATGAGCCGATTCGGAACCTTTGAACAAGATCCTCGAACACAGTCTCCAGAGTCCACGCACTGCAGATAGCCTAAACTCAGCAGGCACCCGGCAGGGAAAAGCTAAGCCAACAACTCCAGCGGCTTCTCCTACGTGTTGCTCTGACAATCACCTGGCTGTTGGTTTTTGCTCAAAATCAAATGAGAGGGAGCGGCCTTCAGCCTGAAAAAAATCCTTTTCCCAAACACAGTGTTGGCCTAACCTTTAAGGCCTTAATCGGATTAAGGGTTAATAACCCCTAATTGTAAGGCTTAACGGTCGGCCTCCTGGGACCTTAAGGGCTTGAGGTCTTGCATTGATGCCGGGCCGTCTCACCGGTAATCGACCCGGGTAATAAAAAATTGTTGCTGCCTGGGGAAGGAGGATCTTCCGGTGTGGGAATGCACCAAGGGGGAACCGGTGTTCTAAAAAAAAACCTTAGGCCGATTTTCTTTTTTCCGACCTGGCGGCGGGGCTACCTACCTAACGTAAGCATTCCCACGCTCCATATATAGTAATTTCCCACATGTTCGAGTTGCCGGACGTTTAAGTTACCTGCGAGCTACCACAGATACCTTCGGAGGCACATAATATCCAACCCTCAGCACTGAAAATGTATGCAGAAGTGCAATAATCACTGCGTTCAGCCGTGGGATGGCCGAAGCCTCGGCTAGCTCATGGCAGCTGTGGCTATGTGTGGCTATCCCTCGGCTAGGTCCGGCTAGCTCGGCTGGCCACAGCCACCTAGCCTGACCGCTGTTAGCTCATGCTAGGCGACGGCCAGCCCACTGTGGGTAGCCCGCCTTATGCTGAGGGTAGCTGTTGGCAGGGTCTGGCTAGGTTTGGTTAGGCTTTGGCCAGTCCGGCTAACCACACGTGCACGGCTAGCTTCGGCGAGGCGGTGGTTTGGCTATAAAGCCTCTGAACGCAGTGAATTTGCTCCGAAATTTCGTGCGACCGATGTTGGAACCCATCACAAACACGACCACATCTCGACCGCTTTGGGAACCAAATCGACGCCCTCAGTCTGCACACTTCTGCACACTCGGAAAATAAAATCAGGCTGGTTTTGAGGGCTCAGAAATACTTCATTTGCTCACCAGGACCATCCTTTGCTTATATATTGGGGGGGTCGAAAACATTTTTTTCCGGCCTGACGGCCGGACTACCTACCCGGCCCTTAGTCGCCGGTTTGAATGCCGGTTCCCCCTTGGAATGCACACCTTGTCTACGGCCGCAAAGAAAGAGTCATAAAATAGTCATCACCGTGTTATGGGAATTGCGTAGGTGGATTGAAGCGTCGAAAATCACTATAAGCCACTGTTAAATAGGCCAGTAAAATACTCTGAAGAGGAGTATGCGGAGCAGATACCTGATATCTGCCCAACACATACAATCACGTGTTCTGCTGCCAAATGAACCGTAGGAAAATATTTCCCAAAATGGATGGTAAGGCCTTAACCCAGCCCTTAAGGTTAACCCTTAAGCATTAATAAGCCTTAACGGTCCCTGAGGAGGGTCTCTAAGGGTTAATGGCCAACACTGCCCAAACACGACTCGAGTCGGATTCGAACCGACGTCCTCGGCACAAATGTCCAGTCCTCTGGCCTACTTGCTGCCGGGGCGCTGCCATTACGCCATCGAGTCTATACAAAGAAGGGAAGAGAAGCCTGTTCGAAGCACGTTAAAGTTGAAATTTCGGCGAAATCGGAATTCGCCGCCATCACTCGGGCACGTGAGTGGGTGTCACGCGTTGCCTTGGCTGCGTCACACCAATTTCCCGTTTCCGACTCTTCTCCTCGACACTCGTCCGCTCGCTCTCAAGGCTGCCCATACAACTCGCTTTGGCCGGCAAATACTGTACTCCTCTTGGATTATCTTTGCTGTTTGGAACCAGAACTCCTCTCGACTTGACTCGAATTGGGCGCTAGTGGCACTTGCGGACGACGAGAATTCAGTATTCGACCCAAATTCGCTCGGATTCGAACGGATTATCAGACCAGGAGCTTCAAACTTGATAAGAACACCATGGCGAGCCCAGCCTGGCACTATGTGCTTAAATTCATCATCACCGGCGACGCAGCAGTCGGGAAATCCTCGCTGCTAGTACGACTCACGGACCAGCGGTTTCTCGCGAATCCGGATCCAACGGTACGTCGAATCCTCTCTGTTCTCCACTCCACCTCTCCTTCCTTTTGCATGGCTTTAATTTCCCTCTTTGTGGTACGAAATACTGACGAAATGTGGAATTAGCTCGGCGTCGAATTCGGCTCGAAACTCATAACCCTGCCCGGTCCTGAAGCGACCGTGGTGAAGCTCCAATGCTGGGACACCGCTGGGACGGAATCGTTTCGCTCGATTACGAGATCGTATTATCGTGGGGCTGCCGGTGCGTCTCCTCGCTCCTCTCTCTAATTAACAGTCATTGACTTGCACCCGCAGGCTGCCTCCTCGTCTACGATGTCACCTCCCGCCGCTCGTTCGACAACGTGCGCACATGGCTCGCGGACGTCCGTGCACACGCCGACGCACATGTTTCGTGTATACTTGTGGGGAATAAGATGGATCTTTGTGAGGGGGAGGGTGCGTTGTTTTCTTCTCTTCTTTTCACTTTTTGTGTTTTGGCTTGAGCGCGCAGAGACGGGGAAGCTGGGAGGAGGAGTGTGTACCGCTGCTATGTGTGGTGGACGGCGTGCCTCGTTTACGCCGCGTGTACGGTCCCGCATGTCGACCTGTTGCAGGCCGTCCATGCTGCGCTCCGTGGCGGAGCATGCTATCTTGGCACGGGCTGGCGGGCTGCACGGTAATGGTACTTGTGCTGGCAGCGAGCGGCAGGGCTCCGCTCGAGATGTGGCATGCAGCCTCGGCGCTGCGTCTGCCATTGGCGTCAATGCAGCGAGCAGTGGAGCGTGGGGCCGCAGCGCCTTCCACTCTTCGGAGCGCTGCCCTGGGAGGAGGTGTCGGATGGGTGCGCGCATACTCTCCGGCGTCTTAATGTCGGGCGGGGCGTCGAGCGTGACGTAGCACTTTGCCTGGCAACGTCTCAGTGAATGCCGCGATCTCAATGCGACTGTGTGCTTTGGCCGCGTATTGGCTGCGTATCGTCGCACGTCCTGGCGAAGCAGGACCGGACGATATCTTTATAGTCGATGTCCCGTGTCGTTACTTGCCATCCACAGGCGCTCTTACTTCGAGTCCCGCTCACATCCTGGTGTTTCTCCTCCTCTCTTCCCGAATCCCGATTTCCTTTTTAGGAAGATCCTCCCTCCGTTCCCTCTTGTTGCTCGCTTCGTAACGGCTTGCTGATCGTTCTCCCCCAGAACCCCGCGAACGCGCCGTCCCGACCGAGCTTGCACAGCAGTTTGCTAATGATGAAGTATGCGTCTCCTTGTCTCCTCACTCCATCTACACAAGCAGACGCTAACGCACATCCAGGGCATGCTCTTCACAGAGGCAAGCGCGCGCAGCGGCGAGGGGGTCGAGGCGGCGTTCATCCGCGCGGCGGAGGAGGTGCTGGGGAAGGTGCGCGCGGGGCGGTTTGATGATGAGCGGGTGGGTATTCTTGTTTGTGTTTTCGATTCCTTCCTCCGCACTTCGATTCCCCTCTGTCCTTCCGCCTCCCTTACCCTCGCTCTGTATTCTTCCACCTCCAGCGTTCCCCCCTTTCGCTCGTCGTCGCCCCGCTCGCTTCGATACCGTGGCGTTGCGGTAGTGACGATCGATGCACAGCTCCCCTTCCCCCTCTTCCTTCCTCCGCCCACGCGTCCCCGTTCACCACCGTCCTGTACCATCTTCCTTCTTCCGCCGCCAGCCCTGCCCCTTTCGGTCGTCGTCGCCCCGCGCGCTTCGATACCGTGGCGTTGCGGTAGTAATAATGCGTAGCTTCGCCTTTCCCTCACCCTCCGCACTTCCACCCTCCACCCTCCGTCCACGTCCCCGCCGTCTGCTCCATCTTCCTTCTTCCGCCGCCAGCCCTGTCCCTTTCGCTCGTCGTCGCCCCGCTCGCTTCGATACCACGTTGTGACTGGTGACGGCGCACAGCTCCCCTTCCCCCTCTTCCTTCCTCCGCCCACGCGTCCCCGTTCACCACCGTCCTGTACCATCTTCCTCGTCCTCCCCTCCCTCCTCTCGTCCCCATCATCATTCACTGTCCGTCTCCTTGCCTCTCCTGGCGCTACCGTCCATCAGTCATTCACATTTCCTCACATTCCCTCCTTCTTCCTATCCCCTTCGTCTCCGCCCTCCGCCCCGTCATCCACATTACCCTCTCTTGCGCTCCTGCCCCCGTACCTCCTTGTCGTCCCTCATATCCCTCATTCCCCGCTCTTCGCTATAACCGTCGTCTTCCTCCTCCTTCACTTCCCACCCCCTTGCGCGTTCCTCCTCCCTCACTTCTTACATCCCCATCAATTCCTCTCCCTCCATGCCCCTCGCCCCTCGTCCGTCCAAGATCGCGCTCTTCCTCGTCTTGCAGTCCCCTCTCGCCCTCTCCTCCACCTTCCGCATCTTCTCCCTCCTTCCCTGCTTACCTTTGTTGCATATCTTTCACTCCCCTTGCGTACCCTTTCCCCTTATGTCGCTTTCTTTATCCATCTCCGCCCACTTTATTCCCATGTCGTGAAGCTGAAGGCGATGCGCCGTCTTATGCCGACTTCTCCCTCCCCTCCCTCCCTCCCCTCCCTCCCTCCCCTCCCTCCCTCCCCTCCCTCCCTCCCCTCCCCCTCCCCTCCCTCCCTCCCCTCCCCCTCCCCTCCCTCCCTCCCCTCCCCCCTCCCCTCCCTCCCCTCCTCCTCGCCCCTCCTTTCTTCCTCTCCCTCCCCCTCCCCTCCCTCCCTCCCCATCCCCGCTCCTCCCCTCCCCGCTCCCTTACTTTCGCTGACGCTTCTCTCTCTTCTAGTCCCCCGGCGTGAAGCTCTCCAAGCCCGGCGCCGTCCCCGCGGAGGATTCCAAGACGGGGCAGTGCTGTGCGTAGGCCGCGCTCGGCGTTGGTGTGGTTTTGGTGGAAGTGGGAGGGGAAGGGGAAGGGGGAGAGGGAGGGAAGGGGAGGGATGGAGAGAGGGGGGTGGGAGTGCGGGATGGGAGGGGGATGGGCGTGTGGGAAGTGGAGACGGAAGGCGAAGGGGATGGTGGCGGGGGATGGCGTGTCCGTGCTCATTGGCGTCGCTGTCGTCGTCGCCCTGCCTTGTGCGTTTCGCCGTCGCCCTGCCCCGCTCTCGTCCTCTCCGCTACCTTCGTCACCGTCTTCGTCTCCCGTTGCGTCTGCGGCGTCTGCGGCTTCCGCGACGGGGGCGGCAACGGGGACGGGGACACGGAGGCGGACACGGGTGGCGGGGCTGTACACGTCAGCAACGCGGGCGACGGGCAAGGCGCGGCGCGGCGCGGATACGACTCACACGTTACACAGACACCTCACTCTTACACCCTACACCCGCACTACTCCCTACGCGTCCGCGACTTACTCCCACTTCCATCACACCTCCACGACTATTTCTACACCTACACCTCACTACGACGCGCGGATACGGACTGTACTTATCTCTCCCTCTTTCCTTTCTCTCTCTCTCTCTCGGCAGCTTATACTACTACGGATACGAATGTACGATTTACAGGCAGATACGGATACAGATAGGATCTTAATTGTTTTATTGCATTTTTTTGGAGGGAGATTGGAGATCTGGTAGTCACTGGGAGAGGTGAAACGCGGGCGGGGAGGCGGGACTGGTGTGCGGGCCATAAGCGAGGCGCGGAGATGAAATTGGAGATAGAGACCCGCGTTTTCTGAGGCTGGGATCCGTGAAGGCGCAGCGCGGCGCGGCTCCGAGTCCGCGTCAAACAATTTTTGAATTTAAATCGCGGCTGTTGAGACGTGCTGTTGAGACGTACATACCTCGAGGCGCGGACGCGGCGCGCCGTACCTAAATTCGAAACCGTTTCGGAATGGTCCTTGTCAAATATTTGAATTTAAATCGGACGTCGAGGCGCGGTACGCCGCTAAATTCGAAACGAAATAATATGGGCTGTGTTTACTGTTTGAGGACGACAATGCGGAGATTCTGAGATTCTAAATTTCAGATTGGAAGGTGTGGCCCACGTTTCGTTTTTGGCGGAAAGGCGCGGTCTGCCGCGCCGTAAACTAAATTCGAAGCAAACATGACGGAATTGGCTGTGTCCGAGACGCGCCGCGCCGCGCAGGCCATTGAAGACGTATCTGAGATACTTGGGCGATCGACTGCGAGAGTATGTCGGTGATACGTACAATATAGGCAGCACTATATGAAAGGTACGCTAGAAAACATAGATAAGTACAGTATAATAGGAGGATGGGAGCGTAGCATAAGTCTAGATTAGATACGGGCCATAGATTATGATGAGGGTAGTACGCAGGAGGGAAAGTCTGCCGATACAAAAAGAAAGGAGAAGAAAATGCCCAGAGGAAAAAAATGTCGTCGCTGGCCTAAGTCGTATCTGGGCTTCCTGGATTGGCGAAACACGGACACCTCGATCGAAATCCCCCACGACGCAGAGATATAGACACGCGGATAACGATACAACGTTTGATAGGATTCGAGAGGATTCGATTGTTGGTACTCGTACAATTGTGGTTTGCCACCTGTCAACGATCGGGGTCTGTTTTTGAGTGCTAGGCG